TTCCTCCCCGCCAGAAAACCACCTGCCAGGCTGCTCCTGTTGCCCCTCAACCTCCGGGGGAACAGACGCATGTGCCCCGCTATGGCAGCAGCCTTGGAAGGACCCTGGCTCCAAACAGAGCCGGGCTGAAGCCCAAAGGGGAGGGAAGGAGATTGCTGAATGAACTCTGGGTGGGGTTCAAAAGCAACGCCCCAGGGATGCTCCAGAGGGGAGTCGTTTGGTCTCTCTCCAGGCTGGAGATGGACTTGGGCCTGGGGGCTCTGCACGGGAGGGGGAAGGCGCTGTGGGTCAGGTGGGGCTGTCATCCATAATCCCAGTCAAGGGTAGGGGCCCAGGCAGAGACTGACACAATCCGGAGGGGAATGCCTGGCTCTGTGGCCAGGAGGGATTCCTTTCCTCAGTCGGGGGATGCTGCTGCAAGAACATAAGAACATCAGAGCGGCCAGACTGGGTCAGACCAAAGGTCTGGTTCTTTTTTGAACCCTCTTAAAGTCCTGGGCTTCACCACATCCTCTGGCGAGGAGTTCCACAGGTTGACTGGGCACTGAGTGAAGAAAAACTTCCTTGCGTTTGTTTTAAACCTGCTCCCTATTCATTTCATTTCATAAGCTTGTGAAGCTGGCTTCGAGGGGGGCTGGTCCAATATCCCACCATCTCTTCCAAACACAGAGACCCAGGTGAAGGGGCGGAATGGGTGGAAGTTGCCACGTGGACAAAGAAGAGAGAAGAGGGAGCACTCTGGGCTCTGAGTGGACGTTGTCTTGTGCTCCCATCCCTCTCTTGGGGTGGGACCTCTCCCCCTCAAACTGGGTCCGGGGTCACACCACTTCGCCTTCCAATCGTGATGTCTCCTGCCCTGGTTTCCACCTATGGGTCCTTCCATAGGAGCTGTGACCAGTAGTAAATTGAGTGACTAGCCAGCCGTGAAAAAAAAATGGGGGACAATTTACTGACCAGCGTGGGACCAGGGCATCGCAGAAGAGAAAACACCGGCAATGAAACGACTGCAGGAGTTTTGCTGCAAAAAAGAAAACTCGCTTTGTCCTTAGGAAATATTGCAACAGCTTTATCGTCCACAAAACCGTCAGACCAACAGAGTGTTTCTACCTTTGTTTGTTCCTTCATTCGTTTAAACAGAAGAACACAAAATGATATAAGCACCTGAATGCCCGAATCAATGTACAGATGTAGCCCAGAAGGGATCTAAAAGAGACTCCGCCCCTTCTGGGTCACAATTAACAGGCCGATGATCAGGCTGGGCCAATGGTCACTGGGTGCTGGGCCATGCTCAAGGCACAAATAGTTAACAGGAGCTATGGGAGCAGCCCTCGCTCAGGGTGGGCCAACAAACAAGCAATTCACAAATGCCCGGCAGTGAGCCCAGGTCCCGGTTCAGGACGGAGTGTCACCCCTGCCACCCTCTACCTCATCCCTGGCCCTCCTCCAGCAACTGGAGGGAGGCCCAGAGGCCAGGGGCAGCTAGGGCTGGTTGCAGCCAAAGAAGAGGGAACGCCCAAGAGGCTGGGGAGGAGAATGGGGGAGGACTGAGAGGTCCAGGCTGTGGCTGTGGGGGGAAGGCAAGAGGCCAGGGCTGGCATCCCCAGGGGCTGGTGTTACCCATGGCTCTCCACTCCCCAGTGGTTGCAAGGGGCTGAGATGCTGGGTCTGGTGTAGCCCCCGGTTACTGGCAGGAGAGCCAGACTTGTTTGCCCCCAAAGATAGCACAGGGGCACCACCCCCTAGCATGCCAAAAAAGCAGAGTCAGAGACTTCACAAAGACCACTAGTGACTTCACTTTGGCTGGTGATCTGTGCAAAATGTTGTGCATCTGTGCTATTAAATCCCTGCGAGAGAGGGACAGGTGTGTATCGAGAATGAGGGGAGTGAGGAGTAAATTCTGCTCTTATTTACACGCGTATAATGCTAGATTAACCCATTTAAGTTCAGCGGCGCTAGTCCACATTTTGTAAAGAAGCTGAGGCTGCAATCACAGCACTGAAGGACATTTCAGATCTTGACATCGTCTCATAATTTTGTTTTATCCCTCAGAAATTGCAGATCCATGGAAGCCTGGAGCGTGTGCGGGGCAGGGTCGGTTTTGATCACGACTGGATATTTTTAGCAGGATCAAATTCCTTAACAGATACCCACTTGACATTGATCATTTGAAAAACAATACTGTCTGTGCCTTTGAAATGTCAGTTAATTGCCATTAAAGAAAACGTAGGAACACAGCAAGATCAAAATCAAAAGGCATCTTAGCTCTGCGGCGGGGAACTCAGGTGGCCTGCTAGGATCAGCTGGACATGTCCTGGCTGGTCAATCTCCTCTCATTTGCGGTCTTGGACCCTGGTGGGACTGAGTCTCCTTTGGTCAAACTCAGTGGCCAACCACAATTGACTCTGTTAAAAAAATAAATAAATAAAATTTGCTTGCTTGAATATTTTCCCTGAGCCTGGATGGGAAAGTATTTCAATATCATGAAAAGTTTCACAAAATAGGAAATTCCTTTTCCAACTGCTGCTACTCAGCAATAACTCACTAAGACATGCACTGTAATCGCTCCAATGGCAAGTGCCAGGAATGAGATTGGTTTCCAGAATGTGGAAAGGGAGGGGCAGAGACAGGAAGGACATGATACTCACAGTGACCACTAGGGTCAGCTTTCTAAGGGCCCACACGAGCGCCAGGCGTCCTTCTCTAGGGCTGCCTAGTTCTGCTCCTGAGGAAGCAATTTCTGGCTCAAGTACACGACGGGGTGTCGCGCCTCCCTTCGCAGCCCCATGTCTGCAGTGTCCATGAACACCAGAAAAGGCTTCTCAAAGCCGGGGTGGACCAGCAATGGGGCTCTGAGCAGGACCTCCCTCAGTAAAGGGGTAAAACCCTCTATCCCAATGCAGACCTGGGCCTTCTTTTGATCTCATGAGGTCTTCTTCTGGACCTCCTTAGGTCTATTCCAGCTCTATGATTCTATGAGTCGTCTTGGTCTGGGGAACCAGCCAGTCTCTGATGGCCTCCTCCTTGGCCGGCTCAGGCTAAAAGGCAGGACCAGGAACTCATAGAGTCCCACAGGGGTGATAAATGCCGGTTTCAGCCTGGCATCAGGGGGCAACGGCACCTGCCAATGGCCGTTTGGGGGAGGCCCATGGTGGCTAATCACTCAACTTACTACTGGTCACAGCTCTCGCGGAAAGACCCACAGGTGAAAACCAGGGCAGGAGACATCATGGTTGGAAGGGGAAGTGTTGTGGTCCAGGATCCAGTCTGAGGGGGAGAATCACATGGTACCACCACAAGAGAAGGACGGGTGCACCTGACAACATCCACTCAGCACCCAGTGCTCAGAGCAAACCTTCTTTTTCCCTTCTGTGCTCCCTCTTCTCTCCTCTTTGTCCATGTGGAAACCTCCCCACATTCTGGCCCTGCACCCAGGTCTCTGTGTTCTAGACAAATGGTGGGAATATCTCCCGGCCTCCATTGAAGGCAGCCTCATTAGCTTAGCTAGTCTGTACCAAAGATACTGTCCCCTGCCTGGATAGTTGGACCCTATTTCTGCTCAGCAGCCCTTCTTCTTCTGGTGTGGAAAACGTGAATACGGTAAAGTGATTTACTTATTCCCACAGTATAAGAACTAGAGGTCACCAAAAGATTCAGAAAAGAGCAACAGCAATGACTGGAGGTCTGGAACAGATCCCATATGGAAAGAGATGAAAAAGATTGGGACGTTTCAGCTTGTGTGGGTATTTGGGTCCCAAAGAGATGAAAAAAACTGGGTATTTCAGCTTAGAAAAGAGGACGCTAAGGGGCGATATGAGAGAGGTCTGTAAAATCATGACTGGTGTGGAAAAAATGAATACGGAAAAGTTATTTACTTGTTCCCATAACATAAGAACTAGGGGGTCACCAAATGAAATTAATAGGGAAGTTTAAAACAAACAAAAGGAAGTTTTTCTTCATGTAGCGCACAGTCAACCTGTGGAACTCCTCGCCAGAGGATGTGGTGAAGACCAGGATTCTAACAGGGCTCAAAAAAGGGCTAGATAGAGTCATGGAGGTTGGGTCCATCAATGGCTAGTAGCCAGGATGGGTAGATGGTTAGGAATGGGGTCCCTGGCCTTTGTCAGAGGCTTGATCATGGGAGGATTCCCTGCTCTGTTCTCCCTCTGGGGCACCTGGCATTGGCCACGGTGGGCAGACAGGACACTGGGCTGATGGACCTTTGGTCTGACCCATTATGGCTGCTCTTATTTTCTTCGAGCAGCATCCCCCGGCTGAGGAAAGGAATCACCTGGGCACAGAGCCAGGCATTCCCCTCCGGATTGTGTCAGTCTCTGCCTGGACCCTACCCGTGACTGGGATTATGGACGACAGCCCCACTTGTGCCCACAGCTCCTTCCCCCTCCTGTGCAGAGCCCCCAGGCCCAAGTCCAGCTCTAGCCTGGAGAGAGGCCAAACGATTCCCCTCTGGAGCATCCCTGGGGCGTTGCTTTTGAACCCCACCCAGAGTTCATTCGGCAATCTCCTTCCCTCCCCTTTGGGATTCTCTGTTTGGAGCCAGGGTCCTTCCAGGGCTGCTGCCATTGCGGAGGACGCGGGGCTGCTCCCCTCGGGGGGGGAGAGGCGGCAGGAGCAGCCTGGCAGGGCGGTTTGCTGCTGGGGTGAGATCTCCCCACCCTGGAAACCGGAATCGGCTATTTAGCCCCGGAAGTTGGGGCCATGTTTGCAGCCAGCCGGGAGCAGTTTCAGAGCAGGGAGGGGATTTCTCCTCTTTACTCCATCAACGCTGGGCCTGAGGAGGAGCCAGGAGTGGACGTCTGTACAGCTGGTCCCTGCCTGCCAGGAGCTGCAGAGACGCAGCAGCTCACAAGACATGCTGGAGGGGCAAAGTGACCACAATGGGGCATCGTTGGCCGGTCCATGGCTAGACAGTGACTGAGAATCCAGGTGGTGAAATGCCAGGAGCCCAGCACGGTGAGCGTGTTACTCCAATTCAATGTACTTAGGGGCTGCTAGCTGGGGTCGATTTCATACTAGACGCGAGTTACGAAGGGAACGCTGTGGGACTGTTCACAGCACTCACTCGACCATGTAGAGTTTCGCAGGGGGCTTTACATTTTTTTGCCCCCAGCAGAGAACAAGGGGCCTTTTTACAGCAATTGTGTGATTTGGGAACATCTCCATGTCCCCCTTCTCCCCAGTTTTAGTTCAGGAAAAACCACCCCACAGCAGATTAATTGTGGAAACCTGAAGAACGTTGTTTCAATTGAGGAAAAAAATGTTCCGAATTTTCCAAGGCACATTTTGTGTTTTAAAACAACGAGTATTTCTGTGGCACCAGAGAGACTAAGGCAGATAGATAAATAGATAGATAGATAGATAGGAGAAGAGTGAATGGGATCTCTTTTAGCCCGGCCCACAGACACCGTGGAAATCGGTGGGTTTAGAATCGACATCTCTTACTTTAGCCTCTTCTCCTTTGTTCCACTCTGCTGCTGGCTACACACACACATGCTGTGAATGGGACACCGAACAGACACGTACTAATAGGCAACCAGCAGTTCCGTGGCACTTCAGAGATTAACCAAAATACAGAAAGGGGATCATGAGCTTTCGTGGGCAAAACCCACTTCCTCAAGTTACTGGGAGTGGAAATAACAATACCCAAGAGTCGTTGTCCATTGTAGGACCCATGTTAAATAGGTCAATTCAGTGGCTGGATGTGTCCCATACATGGCTTTTGATGTGGAAATGCGGTTGTTACAGGCAGGGGATACTGGCTTTGGAATGCGCTCATCAATTAATGTCTTTGTTCAAGCCCGGGGTAACGGTGTCACATCGGTAGATGAATTCCAGTTCAGCAGACCCTCTCTGTAACTGGCTGGTGACATGCCTTTGTAGAAGAATGGCTCATTTTAAATCCATGAGTGACCAGGCAAGTTAAAATGTTCCCGTTCCTGACATCTGATTTCTGTCCATTTCTCCTTTGTCGGAAAGACGGGCCAGTTCGGCCAATATGGCAGAAAGAGATTGCCGGCACTTGATGGCCTAGATCATTAGAAGATGGGCAGGTGTCTGAGCCTCTGATAGCATCACAGAACACTCGAATTGGAAAGGACCTCGAAAGGTCATTGAGTCCAGTCCCCTGCACTCACGGCAGGACCATCTAGACCATCCCCGACAAGTGTCTGTCTAAATTGCTTTTAAATATCTCCAGAGATGGAGATTCCTCAACCGTCCTAGGCAATATATTCTCTGATAGTTGGGAAGTTTTTTGTAATGTCCAACCTCAACCTCCCTTGCTGCAATTTAGGCTCATTGTTTCTTTTCCTATCCACAGTCCCACTGAGTGTAAGGGAGTGATACCGTTCACACCAGTGTGGTAATGCATCCGAGAAGTCCCCATGTAAGCGGTGGTGGAAGTCCTGGCAGAAGGAGAGGTTGGCTGGTGTCACCAACGTTTGTCTCTCTCACCTACGTAACAGGTGTTATTTCTCCCGCCTTGACTCTCCAAAGTCTGATAGTCTGCGCTTGTGGCGCTGACGCCTTCTTGTGCACATTGGGACGTGAGATTTTAGTGAGCCGGGAATCAGGATGGATCCCTTTGACATTCAAACCCTGACTCTGCCCATCTCCTTCCCTCCGCAGCCCTCACAGGACGATCTCAAGAAGAAAATGTCCAACGGAAGCACCGTGACCGAGTTCCTGCTCCTGGGCTTCTCTGACGTCCGGGAGCTGCAGATTTTGCACTTTGTGCTGTTTCTAGTGATATATCTGATGGGCTTGGTGGGGAACCTTCTCATCATCACAGTCGTAGCCCTCGACCACCGTCTGCACACCCCCATGTACTTCTTCCTGGGGAACCTGTCCATCCTAGACCTCGGCTTCATCTCCGTCACCGTCCCCAAATCCATGGCCAACTCCCTCCTGGACACTAGGTTGATTTCCTACCCTGCCTGTGTCTCCCAAGTGTTTCTATTCATGTTCTTTGGTTCAGCTGATATCGGCATCTTGACCGTCATGGCGTACGACCGGTACGTGGCCATCTGCCACCCGCTGCACTATGAGCGAGTGATGAACTGGAGAGCCTGCGTCCACATGGCTGCCAGCGCCTGGGTCACTAGTTTGCTCTTCTCTGCCTTGCACACCAGGAGCACATTGGCTATCTTGTTGTGTGGTGGCCACGTGGTGGATCATTTCTTTTGTGACATCCCCCAGCTGCTCAAGCTGGCCTGCCCGGACTCTGACCGTGGTGAAAACGGGGTTATTGTCTTTAGTGCCTGCTTAGTCTTCAGCTGCTTGGTCTTCATCCTTGTATCGTATATTCAGATCTTCAGAGCGGTGCTGAGAATCCCCTCGGAGCAGGGCCGGCACAAAGCCTTCTCCACCTGCCTCCCCCACCTCACTGTGGTCTCCTTGTTTATTTTAACTGGTGCCTTTGCTCACCTGAAACCCACCTCCAGCACCACATCCCGCCTGGACATCGCGGTGGACGTTTTCTATTCCGTGGTGCCTCCTGTGCTGAACCCCGTCATCTACAGCATGAGGAACAAGGAGATCAAAGCTGCCCTGTGGAAATTGACTGGGTGGAGATTATCCGTGGCACAGAAAATGTCCCTCTTACGCCTCTGATTTTAATTTCATCCTGTGTTTCTTTTTGAATAAATGAAATGATGAGAGTAATGTCTGCAGGAGAGCAGGGTTTGCCATCTTGTTATGCATAAAAGTGTATTTGCAGTTGCAAAATGGAAACACCAGTCAAGTCAAAGGAGCAACCGTAAATGTATACCACTGTAAATAATATCAAAATCTCTCTCTCTCTCTCTCTCTGTCTCTTACTCTACTCTACTCTACTCTACTCTACTTCAGGATACTATAATGCATCCCAATGCTATCTGAGAACCTTGGATAGAAAATCAGTATCTGTAACAAGGTCTTAGTGGACCGCCTGGATCTTGAAGTAAATAAATGTAGTATCTGTGCAGTAGCTATTTGTTTTTTTGCTTCTCCTTCATATTTCAGTGGGAAATTTTTTGAACGAGTAGGTTGGTGGGTGAGTTTGTTGCTTCCATCCGTTTGTTTTCGAGGTGGGGTTGCAAGCTGTAAAAATCAAAAAGTAACCTGCCGTGCTGTGCTGCAGGGGCCGCCCTGCCCACCCTAGGTCCCATGCCCGCTGCCCCGCCCACCTAAGGTCCCCTGCCCCCCTCCCGCCCGTGAGGTTACATAAGCGACCCTCTTTCCTCTGTCCCGTGCCAGCACATAGTGCCCCGACCCTCATACACACAATGGCTCAGGCACCTGCCCTGCCCACCGTGGCACCTGCAGCCCCGGGCGTGAGCTGGGGCGCCCCTCCCGCGTGTATCCTGAAATAGACATAGCCTTTCTGTCTAAAGGTGAACTCCATTTCTTTGCAAAAAGTTTGAGAAATTGTGACACAGGCAGAAGTGCAGGTGGGTCTTTCAGATAATATCCACATAGCCTGGAGCTAGGGAATAAAATTTCAGCATAAATTCCTGACCACCCCACTACAGCTCTCTTCCTTTCCACATTTCTCAGCCAGATGAAAAAGCCAAGCCAAATAGTGTCTTGTAAATGATCTTCTAGAGGAGAAGAGAATACTGTTAGCGTGCCCAGTATGGAAGGATACAGTATCTTTGTGTGTTTCAAAAGATGTAAAATTAAGGTTTACTATATAAAACTAGGAAGCATATTGGAAATTAAGAATTTAGGGCAAAATAAAATATTAATGTAATATCTAATTCACTACTGAAGGGAAACTAATAATTATTTTACTTATTTTCCTATTTAATTTACCTAAAACCATTCAATTTTTTCATGTAAAGATGCCACATAATAGTCTGCTGCAGTGGAGTGCCATAGAATCTGGGAGTTTAGCCACAGAATTTTGGTCAGGCTATCCAATGAATGATCAGGGGCCTTGCCTAACATAAGCCACACATGAAGGAGGACAGATTTGAAATGGATAGTAAAAGACGAAAGGGAGTTAAGTCTAGCTTTTAAATACAGGGGAGAGCTAAAAATGCTCATATGGGAAAGAAGAGAAAAAGGAAGAACTGTCTGTCTCAAGTCTGTCTGTCTTCAGAGTCATGCCAGCCTCTGCACCTAAATACAATTTCAGTCACTTATCAAACTGTGTTCCCCAAAATTTATTTTTGCTTGAAGACTCTGGAGTGTGTAGGCTTAACAGAGAATGTGGAACTCGAACAAAAGGCACTCAAGGGACTTACTTTGACTATTGCAACCCCTTACATGGGTATAAATAAAGTTTACCAGAAATGCTATTTGTAATACAGCACGGATGAGTGAAAAAAAGGCAAAAATAGATGTTAATGGGAAAGCAAATTGAGAACAGATGTTAGGCACTTTTTACAGAGAATACACTTGACAAATGACCTCTGGACAAGTTTGCTGGGAGGTCATTCAAGAGAAAGATGTCTTGTTAGGAAAAAGCATGGGCCAAACCCTTATTCAGGTCCTATATGATTTTTTAAAAAGTTTAGCATGTCAGGATGGTCCTAAAAAGTCCCTAAAAGTATTTCTGTACCCTAATATGTTTTCACATTTGATACAGATATTTTTGGATAATAAGCACTGACAGCAGGAAATGTATTTAAATGCTTCTTTAATCTACTGCCTAACTAAATATTACATATGGCAGAATGAAAGTACTTCCAACCATGAGACAACTTTTTTAAATATGAATAGGGCAGGGGTTTGTTACCATGTCACTGCAATACTGGGCAGCTAGGATTAGTTCTATTTTTCATGTCCTTTATAACTTTGCACAGAAAAGCATTTTCAGCTAAAATAACGTGAACCAGGTTTTTAAGTTTAGCCCTGTGTAAACTGCACTGAAGCTTCAAGGTAGGAGTAGCCCTGAGAAGCACTGTGCTTCACAGTCATATCTTTGAGTCATAATTGCTCTCCCTCTCTCTCCTTGCCCCTGGGCACAGTAAATGTTTGCATATGACAGTGACATTTGTCTACCTGCTTCAGTGCCATAGATTAACAGTCTCACTTCAGAAGTGTCAAATACAGCAGCTGGGGCCACGTACCACATGGTGTGGGGGCTGGGGCTGGGGCTGGGGCTGCACTGCCCTGCTGCTGGTGTCCCCTGTGGGGCCACAGTGGAAGGGACGGCACTTCTCGGGCGGGAGACAGCACCAAGGCCATGCAGCTGTGGCCCCTAGAAGGAGCTTCCACCATGCTCAGCCCTGCTAAGCCCCCCGGACCTCCAATCCCCTCTTGATACCCCTGCCCTCACTCACACTCTTCACCCCCTGCTGTAGACCCCCCCCACACACCTCCCAGCTCCTGTCCTCACTCCTCCAGACCTGCCCCATACCCCTGCTTGTGCCCTCCCCAAAGTCTTCCCTGATTCCTTCAAACCAACCTGAAACATGCATCCTTCCCCAACCCTTACTAGCGTCCATTTAAAAATGGCGGCGCCCGGCTTTATGCAAATGAAAAGAGAACGGTTAGAGAGAGGAATAAGATCTCAGTGAGCAGGACCGTTGGTCCTAACAAACTGAAGGACGACCTTTGTCTGCCTACCACTGAGGACCTCCATCAACAGCTCAAAACCCTGACAGCACAGCTCACTGAATTTATGACGAGTAAGATGCCTCAGGGGTCACCTAGCGATATTCTTCCACCAACTTTGACAGAAAGGAAGTACCCTCCTTTTCACCCAGGGAGAAGGGACCCCAACAGAGAACCTGTAAAGAAAACCTTGGTGACCCTCCCAAGGAACAAGAGATTCTGCTACCGATGTGGCGAGGATGGGCACATTTCCACCCAGTGTGACAACCCAAGGAATGAAGAGAAGGTAGCGCAACGAAAAAAGAAGCTACAGGGAAACTCCCAAGGATCCCAGTAATGGAGCATACTGGGAGCCATTACAGTCAGAGCTCCACTAAGTTGTGTTATGAACAGCCTTCCTGGAGCCCATTCCCAGAAGGATTGATAGGCCCAGCAGCGGTAGTTAATGTGATGGTAGAAGGGATTCCCTGTAGGGCCCTGCTGGACAGTGGATCTCAGGTCACCATCATTACTAGAGAATTCCATCGGCAATTCCTCCCTCAAGTGAAGATCCATCCTCTAGAAGGATTGGCAATATGGGGCCTTAGCAGAAGCACCGTGACCGAGTTCCTGCTCCTTGGCTTCTCTGACGTCCGGGAGCTGCAGATTTTGCACTTTGTGCTGTTTCTAGTGATATATCTGATGGGCTTGGTGGGGAACCTTCTCATCATCACAGTCGTAGCCCTCGACCATCATCTGCACACCCCCATGTACTTCTTCCTGGGGAACCTGTCCATCCTAGACCTCGGCTTCATCTCCGTCACCGTCCCCAAATCCATGGCCAACTCCCTCCTGGACACTAGGTTGATTTCCTACCCTGCCTGTGTCTCCCAAGTGTTTCTATTCATGTTCTTTGGTACAGCTGATATCGGCATCTTGACCGTCATGGCTTACGACCGGTACGTGGCCATCTGCCACCCACTGCACTATGAACGAACAATGAACCGGAGAGCCTGTGTCCACATGGCTGCCAGCGCCTGGATCACTAGTTTGTTGTACTCTGCCCTGAACACTGGGAGCACGTTTGCCATCTCCT